AACCTATACTACACTAATGAAACAGATATACCTGTTGGCTCCAAAACCAAGAAAGGCATGGAGAGGTGCTTCTAGGCAGAAGTACCTAAGAAAGTACTTCTAAGCAGCTTCTAAGCAATTGTTTCTCCCCTATAAGCAGAAATCTTGCCAAACTAAAGCAACTATCTGCATCACTAATATATTATACTCTGAGAACTTCTAGGAAGGAGCTATCTTGTCTTTCTCCTAACAAAATTATCTAAACTTTGCTATCTCTTGGTCCTCTGGAATGCAGCCCCTCCTCCCAAGGAATCCAGACTACATTCCATCACAATATCCTATGAGATTTGAGGGATGAATGGCTATCCTAAATCTCTCCCATTTGCCATGATTCTGTTCTGTACTGTCGCTTGTCCATCCATTCCTCCACGGAATGTGCTCCCTCCTTTTTGCAAACCTGCTGCATTTCTGTAGTATATCATGACCTCCCCCTTTATAGATACAATCTCTCTCTCTCTCTCTCTTCCCCTCCCTCCCTCCCTCCCCCACTCCAACACCCATACTCTTTGTCTTGGATCAATTCCTTTTGAATAAATTGGAGCTTTTCCATGATGTTTACCAATCAAGAATATCATCCCACCAAATCTCAGTGGTGCCTATGATGTCATATTTGTATTCCAGAATTAGGTTCTCTGTATTTCCCATATTCTGTGCATCGCTATAGAAAGAATTTTGGTAAGAGATTGATTATATATTTAAGGCTTCAAGTATCATTTATTTGTGCCTCTCTTGTGGTGTCCTGGCTCCATATTTTACAGTATTCTGCTTTTGTGTTCTGCTTTCTTGGCTTCATACTTTGCTTTCATTGTTGTTTCTTTTGCACTATCCCTCTTTTTGTTCTAGCTTAACACTTGTCCCTTGATTGACCTGCATTTTTCAGTTAACACCTGGAAGACAAGCTGCTTAGGCAAGCTAACTCTTCCTATTTATTCTTGCAAACCATGAGATAATTTTCAGTGCTAACCCCAATCAGATAAATATTTTCCTGTTTTGTTATAACAGGCACTCAGCGCCTGCTAGACACTTAATCTTCATTAGTATGCAGAGTTGTTGGCATCTCTGAGCTTTGTGGCTTTCTTGTAGACATTTCATTACCCAAGCAAGTAACATAATCAGTCCTAATTAATTAGTATCTAATCTTCCTTTGCTGATGCCTAAATTGAACAGTTCTGGGGGTGGGTGGGAAAAGAGGTTGCAGGGCTATACAGCTTGCTCAAAGAAAGCAACCGCTTTGTGACTTGAATTCTGGAAACTGTTCTCACCATTTGGGCTTATTCAACTGACTGGGAGAAGGTCCCCCAATGCCAGAAATATATTCAGAGACAATTTTATATGATTTTAGAAACATAGGGTTAGAAAGGATCCTGGAGGTCTTCTAATCCAGCCCTCTGCCCAAGGCAGAAGTCCTCATACCATCTGAAACAAATAGTTCTCCAATCTTTTCTTGAAAACTCTCAATGATGGAGCACCCAAAATTCTAGGAGATAAGCTGTTCCACTGCTTAATTGCTTTCACTGTCAGGAAATTCCTGCTTATTTCTAACGTATTACCTCATTTCTTAATAAACTTTCTCAAAAAAGTTGGTTGCCTTCTTAGAGTCTCCCTTGGTGGTCTCATTCTTTAAGATCCGTCCCGCAAACCCTAAACTGAGTATGGGTGCACTTAACAAATTAAAGCAACAACTCTCCCGATGAAATTGGAGAAGTGCCTGTCAGTCTTTCTATCCTAATTTTTTATTTAAAAAAATATCCTATCTCTTCCAAGGAATTCTTCGTTACAGTTGTGTATTCTGCACAGTGGTTAGAATGCAGTATTACAGGCTATTTCAGCTGACCGCCAGCCGCCTGCAATTTGGCAGTTCGATTCTCACTGGCTCAAGGTTGACTCAGCCTTCTATCCTTTTGAGGTGGGTAAAATGAGAACCCAGATTGTTGAGGGCAATATGTTGACTCTGGTGGCCGCACCTTCTTCTCCACCAGTGTTCCTCAGGGGGGAATTCTCCTCTGACTTTTCTCCTCTGCTGACATGCCCCTGCCCATTAGCGGCCCCTTTGTCCCACCCGCTTCAGCGCTGCCGATTTGCCGAAGCATGGTTCGTTCTGGGTTTTTCTCTGCCCAGGACAGTTAGCCACCAACCCATCAGCTAACTGCCAATGCCGGTAGCCATAAGCCACAGTGAAATCTTGGTGGTGAGGTTTGGGGGAGAGGCTGCAATCAAATGGCTTTAGGAAAGCCAAATATTTTTTAGGAGAAGGGGAGGGGGTAAGTAAGTAAGGGAAGGAAACAGCGGTGGGGAGGTAAGTACTTCGGCTTCATCCAAGGGGGAAAGAGGAAGAGAAAGAAAAGGAAGGAAGGAAGGAAGGAAGGAAGGAAGGAAGGAAGGAAGGAAGGAAGGAAGGAAGGAAGAAAGAAAGAAAGAAAGAAAGAAAGAAAGAAGGAAGGAAGGAAGGAGGGAGGGAAGGGAAGGGAAGGGAAGGGAAGGGAAAGTGAATGAGATATGGATGGAGGCGAAAGATTTATACAATCTGAAGAGAAACCTGAGTACTGGAAGGAAAACTCCATACAACCTGAAGGCTTAATAATAAAAAAAAATGTTAGTGTGTGTGGAAATGGATAAATTAACTATGGAATTAAAAGGGAAAATAGACACCGAATACAATGCAGTATGGGAAATATAGTTTATTTGGATTGATCATAGATATAAGAATAGAAAATGTAAATAATGTATATAATAAATAAGAGGGTATGAAAGTATTATGTAAGTTTTGATAAAACACATAAATGTATACATAATGTCACAGCGCTGTTTCATAACTATTGGTATTATGTATAAATGGAAAAAAATCAATAAAGCATTATTTTTAAAAAAGAGGGAGATATGGATGGAGGGCGGGAAGGAGGGAAAAAGGAGAGGAAGGAAGGACCACAAACAGCTGGTAGCTTCAGAGGATACTTTGAAACAGCATAGCAATCCAGGGCTGGAAGGGAACTTCAGAGGTCATGCACCAAGAAGCCAACTCCTGAGCACTCTGCATTGTCATAATGGGTTCCTGCTAGAAAGTCCTGGCTAACCTGGGCTACTATATTTTAGCCCAGGGGTCCCCAGCTACCAGGCCCCGGACCGGTACCAGTATGTGGATCATTTTGTACCGGGCCGCCTATTTTGCTTGGGTGCCGTCATCTTGTTTCCACGGCGCTTGAGAAAGTGCTTCCGGGTGAGCTTGTCGGTCGTCGGTTGGAAAGCAGCGTTTGGGTGCTGAAGGAATCCTCGCGCCTTAGTTTCGTCGAAGGGGGGGGCGGCTTCGAACGAAGAGCCGTCCCGATGGCGGCGGAGTCTCACATTACCGGTCTGTGGATCATTTTGTACATTTTGTACCGGGCCGTGGTACAAAAAAGGTTGGGGGCCACTATTTTAGCCTATCAGTTTCTTGTTTTTAAGGGCAGCCCCATGCAGAGCGAATTGCAGTATTCCAAGTGAGTGGCAGTGAAGGGAGGAGCCTGCAATTTGGTTAATAACTCATATATGCAGAAGCATGCTGCACACATACAAATTAGTTTCTGTTTGAAGAAGGGAGGAATCCTGGAGCTAGGTAAAACAATGATGGCAGAAACTAAACCATGATAGAATTACCTACACTGTGTGGCTCATTCACATTCTTGCTGAGCTGGTTATAAAAATGCAATTTAAGAAAAACAAATTTCTGAGGAATTATGTTAAAAGGAAATGAATTCTAGCTAAGCTCTTTTGCAGTTTAAATAATCTATATCAGGCTGTCCAATCTTGACAACTTTAAGACCTGTGGACTTCATATCTCACCAAATTCCCCAGCCAGAAAGTCTTAAAAGTTCCCAGGTTTGGACATCTCTGGTCTACATTCCTTTCTCAATAATTGCTTCCCTGAGATACGGGTAGTTCTCGACTTATGACCACAATTGAGCCCAAAATTTCTGTTGCTAAGTAAGCAAGACATTTGTTGAGTGTTGCCCATTTTATGACCTTTTCTTGCCAGAGTGAATCCCTGCAGTTGTTAATTTAACAACATGGTGGTTAAGTGACTCTGGCTTCTGCATTGACTTTGTCAGAAGGTCACAAAAAGGGATCAGATGATCCCCAGGACACTGCAACCCTCCTCAATATGAGCTAGTTGTCAAGTGTCTGAATTTTGATCACATGACCATGTGGATGCAGAAATGGTCACAAGTCTGAAAAAAAAACAGTCATAAGTCACATTTTCCAGCCCTGTTGTAAGATTGAACGGTCACTTAAGTAAAGTGTTGTAAGTCAAGGACTACTTGTACAGTGATTTTAGGAAGCCTGAAATGCCATATCTTGGATTTTGGTCAGTGCCACTTATGACTCTAGATCAGGAGTCCCCAAACTTGGCAACTTTAAGCCTTGTGGACTTCAAACTCCCAGAGAATTGAGGTCCACAAGTCTTAAAGTTGCCAAGTCTGCTCTAGATTTAGGCCCTTCTCCTCCTCCCCCCCCCCCCCGCCCCAAGAAGGACCTTATACCAAGTCTTGACAAGGGTATTGCCAGAGTTCCTCAAAGTTGGCACCTGGCTTCTCCCCCCCCCCCTCCGGGCTTCACACCCAGGAGCACCAGCGTTTGAAGCCCAGCCGCCCACCTTCCGACGGCTCCATCCCCTGGTGCGGAACACAGAAAGTCCACCGGCCCCCGCCGCCTCGAGGCTCTCCTTAGCAACTGGGAGCGGGTTCTTCGAGCCGAGCGGGTTCCCGCCCGCGCGTCCCTGGGAAGCTGTTGCCCATGGCTGAGGGAAGAGGAGGAGGAGAAGCCTTGACTCCGTGTGGAGACCGCGGGGGCTTCCCTCAGGGATCGTCTCCTTCTGTTGCTTCGAGCAGCCCCTCCCTCGCTCCCTCCGTCGGAGCTGGCGGGCTGCCTCCGAGGCTGTCCAAGCTCAGCCCCTCCCTCTCCTCCCTTCTCCCCCTCCCCTCCCCCAGGGTTGCTGCTTTGACTCGGCTGCTCGGGGCTTCTCAGGCTCTCAGTTGGCATTGCGCTCGGCGCCTTCGGCTCCTCGAAGCGGGAGATTAGCCTCACGGCGCTTTGTCCTCCTCGCCTCCTCACTCCTGGCGCCGCGATGAACTTGCGCTGCCTTCTCGCCGTGCAAGGTAAGGTAAGGCGGAGGGGGTGGAGGGAGAGAAGAGAGGAGGCGACGGTTCGGTTCCTGCACCTGGAACAGCTTTCGGGATGGGGTGCATGTGGGAGTGGCGTTGGGGGGGGGGGGCTTTGCGGCGAAAACGAAGAGCCGGGAAAATCAATTGGAGCAGAAGCTTTAGGAACCGTAGTCTGACAGATGGACGGAAACTTACTGTGAGGCGTTACTAGATTACTAGGAGAAAAGATCCAGAGACAACTAACTGTTGAGGCAGAGAAAGTGATAATTGCATAGAGAGAGAGGACCGTTCACCAAAAAAATGGGTGTGTCATAGAAACACAGCGTAGCTCTCACGTGTCTGATAACCTGGTCTCTGTTTTAATCCAAAAAAAAGTGTTGGGTCTCCTAATTAATTCTGTAGTAAAGTCTGTATTGGTGACTTCTTTATTCTAGGAGAAGCATCTTCAGATCTCTTAAGAGGTGCATTTGGAAGCTGAACTTATTTTAGAATATTGCATTTCCCAGATTTATTTTTTTTAAGTGTTCCTATCTCTCCCTCCCACCCACCCCCATTGGATCAATGCCCTAGAAAATGCATTGGGGTCATGTCTGATAGAGAAAGGCATAATAGAGGACATTGACAGAAGAGCAGGTGCATGAAGCATGCAGTTACTGGGTCTTGTAATAGATTTTTAGAGGGGCAAATGAGATAAAATTTGTATTGGAGTCTGCTGCAATCGTGTTACAACTGTATCGCTGGGAGGCAGTCTTGGTAACTGTTGGGACTGCTACTGCAGTTTTTTACTGCTTCTACTGCAGAAGTGCACAGCTGATTTCCATTGAATTAAGCCAAAGACTTGCTTTCCTGATATTTCTCACAGGCACTCTTTCACAGCGGATCCAATCTCTTTTTGTTGAAAACTAAGCCAGCTTTGTCTTCTTTAGTTTTGCAGTTAGCCAGAGCCCTTGAGTCATACTCTGTTGGCTCTTGTGCCTTTGAAGACAGCACTTGTGGCTATGAAACGGACATTACTGCTCTCACATGGATTTTGAATGAGGAAGGTAAGAAAGAGGTTTTTCCTAGGGTCATCTCTTCTCAAACCACATAATTAAAGCTGTATTATCTTTTGCTTAGTTTTTAGATGTTTAAAAGGCTGGATTTCCATTTACAGACTTAGTTGCAGGCCGAATTAAAAGAAAAACACACACACACACAATTCCATACTCCACAGCGAGGCAAATGTGTGTGTGTGCTCGCCCCGAGGCCACTTCTACCGGCCGATTGAAGTGGCTGGTGACTGCACTTGGGGAGCTTCCATCGCCCGAAAGACTGCCCTAAAGGTGAGGGGACACGGGTAGCCACGCCACGTCCTGAAGCAGCTGGGGACTCTGCCTTCAGGGAGCTTCTATCAGCTATCGGGGTATTCTAGCCTAGGCTACCTGTAGGGCACTCCTAAAGGCAAGTTTTCTCCCCATCCCCCCGCCCCGCCCTTTTCTGTTCACCTCATGTAGTTCTAACAAACTGTGAGAAATGGCGGGAAAAAGCATGGTTTGAATAGGCCTAAATTTTGGGGGCGGGGCCGTATTGGTGGAGGCCGTATTGTTGGAGAAAGACGGTAGTTAAGCATTTTATCACTGTCTCAAGCAGAGATGTTGATATGTTTGTAGCAGACAGGATGTCTTGCATCTGTCTGATAAAGAATATCTGTGAATAAAGAATGTTCCACATTTTGTGTGTGTGTCCTGTTTAATAGATGGGAGAGGAGATGATATAATGCAACATTTCTTAAACTTTCTGTCCTCAGGACCCCTTCTCACTTTTAAAAATTATGGATCACCCCAAAATAAATTTTGTTTGAATGGGTTATATAAATAATACCTTTTGAACATTGACGTGCATGTTCAGTATTTACTGAAATAGCAGTATTAGCAGTATTTTTTCCATGAAAAAATAATCTTTTAACAAACAGAAGAATCAGAAGAAAGTCATTTAAAATTTTTGCAGCTATCTTTAATATCTGACAAATAATTTTGATTTGTGTTGAGAATGTGTTGGGTGAGGGTCCTTGGGCCACGCTTTAAGATACATTGACCTAAAAAGATTATAAAAAGCCTAGATTCTGGAAAGCTTCCCCAGGAGGATCTGACAATCAATATGCTTATACTGAATTGTATATTGCTTGACTTGGCTGCCTAAATGAATCTTACCAAGAGCAAGTGGTTATGTGTTCTGGACCCCACAGATCCTAAAAACGCTGACATGCTTGTAATTTGGGGGTGTTCCTTGTCTCACAGCTCCTGCATGAAAAGGCCAAGTGGCCTTTCCCTTATGTCCATTTCTGGATTCAGGGACCTGCTCAAGGTCACTCATATCTTATTCATCTCTTAAATGGATTGCAACTTACTATGCATAAGACTGTCCTTGACTACCATTCTTAAGCTTCAGTTGGTCCAGAATTCGTGTCATGGGTAATTATGGATACTTCTTGTTACACTTGTATAATACTTTCACTCAGTAAGCTAGACCTGCTTCTTATAGGCCTTTAATGCACTTGAAGGCTTAGTTGTCATCTATAAAGTTCTACATGACATAGGACAAGGTTATTGTGGACTGCCTTCTTCCCAGGATAGTTGCCTTTTCACACATTTTGACAGAGAGAATACATTCCAGATCCCTTCTCTGAAACCTTAATTATTTTGTATCCAGAGTCAGACTCTTAAGAATTAGGTGGCCATCTAAATGTTATGAAGAAACAAACTCATTCATTCATGGAACTGGTAGAATCAAAATGTAAAAGGAAGGTAATTTTCTTCTTTAAGTGCATAGGGGCAGAGGACCTAAGAGGAACCATGTTGCTTTTTTTTTGTCTGCTTCAGAGGCTCTTCTCAGCATCACCTATACTTGCAAAACTGAAAACAATTTCTCTATGTACATCAGTCCACATAAATCTCTTCTAGTTTTTGCAAATGCTACCGGAAAAGACTTCAAGACCACACGCTCCCTTTGGTGTTCTCTAGTGTTTATTAAAGCTAGAAGATGTTTCTGTGCAAGCAGTGTATCTATGTCAAGGTAAGAAAGTTATTGAGGAAAGTTGTGTTATCTTTCTATTTTGGCTCAGAGAATCATATTATAAAGTTTTTCAGCGAGTTGAGTCTAAGTCACTTAGCCTAGGTCTAGGACTACCATTTATCCATCTATTCCTATACTACCTATTCATCCTGCATATTTGTTTGAGTTTTTTTCGAAGCACAATTTTCTATTTGCTAGGTTAGTCTATCCATCGAATGTAATACACTTGCTGTATCCCATGCTCGCAGGTGACTTCTTCCAGCAGTGGATTTTAAAAAGCAGGGGGGAGACCCTTGAAGTACCCCACATAGTAGGGTCTACATCTATTCTAGACCCTTCCTCTTCCCATCATCACCAATGGGAATCAGCCAGGGATGGGATTCTACCAGTTCGGACCGGTCCCATAGAACTGGTTGTTATGATTCTGCACAGTTCAGAGAATCGGCAAATTGTGCCCCTGGCTGGCCCTGCCGCTCTCTGCCCGCCCGGTCCCAGCCACCCAGCCCTTATCGCGCATGCGCAACAACGCTGACTGCGTTCTCTCCCACACAGTCTTAGGGTTTTTCTTTTTGTTCCCTCCTGATGATCAGCTGTTCTGATGATTAGCTGTGCTGGGATCCCCCTCACTGTCTTACTGCTTTGCCCAGGAGGAAGGAAGGAAGGAAGTAGAGGAGGAGGAAGGAAGGAGAGGAGGAAGGAAGGAGAGGAGGAAGGAAGGAGAGGATGATCAGCTGTTCCAATGATCAGCTGTGCCGGGATCTCCCTCACTGTCTTACTGCTTTGCCTAGGAGGAAGGAAGGAAGGAAGGAAGGAAGGAAGGAAGGAAAGGACGATCAGCTGTTTGGATGATCAGCTGTGCTGGGATTGCTGTCTTATTGCTTTGCCCAGGAGGCTTCCCTGAGGCAAAAAAAGGAGGGGGGATGCTGCAAAAAGAAGAAGAAGCCACACCCACCGAGTCACATGGTCACGCCCACCTAGCACCGATTGTTAAAAAATTTGAATCCCATCCCTGGAATCAACCCTGGAAGAAGGAGAACAAAAGTTACAAAACAGCTCCCCAAAGCTCTCAGCTAGTCCAGAAGCATACTATGGTCAATGTTGTTAAAAACTGCTAAGAGGTCAAGGAGGGCCAGGATGAATACACGTCCCCCATCCTGAGACAACCAGAAGTAATCAAGCACAATCAAAGCTGCTTATTACTGTATCCTAGTCTGAAATCTGACTGCAAGGGGTCCAGATAATCTGCTTCCTTCAGCACACTTTGGACCTGTCAGTTAACTACCTTCTCAAAAAAAAAAAAACCCTTAAAGAAAGAAGATTGGAATCTGGATGAAAATAGTCCAGCTCTGCCTGATCCAAAGCTGTTCTTTTGAGGAGAGACAAACCAGTACCTCTTTCGCCTCTTTCAGGCATGGGCTACCAGTCTGGAAGCTTGACAAACCAGGAAGGGTTTGGATCAAAAGCAAAATTAGCCACATCAGAGAAACATAAGGTATTTTTGCCATAAGCTTTAAAGGATGCTGAATCTTGCTCCTAGATTTCCTCCAATGGCTCCCTAGGCATAACTTCTGTTACTTTATCCAGCAGAGATCCTCAGTAAACCAAGGGCACGTTGTGGTCTGTTGCAGGCGAGATGGCACAATCCAGTCTAAAGCCTCCGTGCTGCCTCATTCTAAGCCTCAGTATCGGGGACAATCCCTTGTTCCTTCCAAAACCTAATTGGAACCAAGAGGTGTCTGGAAGTCAGAGGGACTGATTGAATAGGTTTAATCTTCCTGTGGAGGATGGGTTGGGATGCTGTGGTAAACTGAAAAGGGATTGATAGTAGCATCTCCCAACTCCATGTTATTACCACTCTAAGACAAGAATCAGATCTAGTATATGATTTCTTCTCCCCTCTGGGTCATTTTTGTAATAAATTGGTTGTTATGCTGGCCTTGTATTCTGATGTTCTGTCCATACTGCTGGTTTTTACCATCCTCCCATGGAAGCCACTGATTGAATGGGACATTTAGACCATTGAATTCAACCCTGAATTCATCCATGCAGCAATCCAAAGTATTCGTAACACGTAGCTGTTCAGCCTCCTTTGCTTGCACACATCTAGTTCACTGTTCCCTTGGTAACCAGTTCTAATACTGAATTGTTCTTATGATTAAAATCTCTTAATATTCAACAGGAATTTGTCTTATTCCTTGGCAGCCACCAGCGTTTCTCTATTTAGAAGCCAGGTATTAACATTGCCAGTTTCTTATTTGATTTGCAATATTCATATATTTCCTTCTTAGACTGAAAACAGTCTTTTAGGGGTGTTCTGCTGATATTTCACAGGCCACAGACCTTGCTAACATGTAATTAGTCTTATTGTTTATAGGGCCTAGAGATCACATGGAATGAGTATATATGAGTACGTATCCTTCCAGAGGGACAACATTCAGAAAACTAATACATACTGTTCTCCCACAGGAAAGGAACCCTACATGCATATATGTACCTCCACATGGAAGTTTATCTTTTACAGATTACAAATTATTAAGGAAACAGCTGGTGTGCATGGTTTTATTCTGGTTTATACAATTAAGGTGTGAGAATTCCGGCAGTTGATTTGTAACTATATAAGTTAAAGCCAGTTGAAATATTCTATAAAATAAATGGAAAAATTAAAGCCAGAGAACAAAAATTTGAAGAAGAGGATTAATTCGGAAAAAGCTGTATGGAATAGGAAAGCTTTTCAGTTGCTTCTGAAAGGAAACGTTCTAAGAACATTAGTAGACATTCTACATAATGGTATTCTAAAATACCAGGGCTCCTGAGAAAAGCCTTGCTCCAAATAAATGATAATCTAGATCTCATAAAGATTCAGATCTCAGATAAATAAGAAATTCTTAAAGTGATTAATATTTAAAAATAAGATACTGTTTTACTGTTTACATTTGAAAATGGGATAATACTAAATCTTACTCTTTATATTAAGGAAGTGCTACTTTCCTTT